CATCCATCTTCTTTGGCAGTGGCAGCCCACATTGAGCAGCTTTGTTCTCAGGTTATAAACAGGGACCACTTAGTCAGTTTGCCCCTTTCACCACGGCCCTGGTGTTTATTTCTGTTTCGGCGATGCTTTGCAGTCTTGCTGGAGAAGCTTTTGATCCACCGGCTTTCCGGTTGAATTTTCCAAAGAGCTAGTTTATGTGTTTGGGGTGTGTGTACTGTGCAGTATTTCATGTTGGTAGCTTGGGTTTCTCCCTTCCCTGCGCGTGTTCCTTTGAAGTGCTTGTTTTCTTATTTCATCTTTGAACATCAGACTCGCAGCAGACCTGGGCGCTCTTAATCTTCTCGGATCGTGTAACGGAAAGAATGCTTCGCTCCGGCAGCTGCGAGCGAGCTCCCCGCGGACGGCAGCCCCTGCCTGCTCCCACAGCGTCGCTCTGTCCCCGAGCAGGGTAACTGCCTGCTGATAATGGGTGCATTTTGTGGGATTTTTTGGAAATGTGTGTATCTGGAGATACCCAGTGACGGAGGAGACAGGGAGACGTTATTTGGGGAGGGTTCTGCCTGAAATCTTCCCTGTGCACTAGAGAAAAAGTTATTAAAACACGCAGCAGAACAAAGCAGAAGTGTTTCTCTGGTGTGCCGCAGCTGGATTCGCAGGGGAGCGTTGGGGCAGTTGGGGGTATTTTTGTCACGGAATGCGGGATGCAGCAGCCCCGGCGTGCGGCTGTCGCAGACCGCGCTCACCGCTGCGGGGTCGGAGCAACTGCGCTCGCCCGTCCCGGCAAAACCGGGAGCGACTGGGCTGCACCATTTCAGAGTAGATGTGGCTTTGTGAGTAAGAGGCTACTCTTCGGATTTCAGAAATGGAAAGCCTTCATTTAAACCTCTGCAGCTGTAACTAAGTAAATTGACGAAGCTGTGTTATTTAGATCTTTTTAAAATCCAAGGAGCTGGTCGTTTGCAATGATGCTCCTTCCACGGGGAGGACAGTGAGCAGGACCTTGGCTTCCTCCACTTCTTGCCCCATCAGTGACTTTCTGATCCCTTCACAAGAAAACTGTCCTGTGATTAAGGCCTTGGATGGGACTCTGGAGACTTACATACTTAGTTCTCATTTCTGCTACTGCCATCCGTGTGACCTTGAATAAGTTATTTCAGCTCTTTAAGTTTAAGTTTTTCATCTGTACCAAAAAAACTACACAAACAAACCCCCCAAAAACCCCAAAGCATCATATTTTCTTACATCTTTATTTAAATTGTGTGTTACTGCTCATTACATATATATAATTGCACAATGGGACGGTATTTTCAATTGGATTTCTAGGTGCTGTTGCAATAAAAATAATAATCAAACTGTTTCTTGTAAATATGCCTTGTGCAGTGTGATTTGAACGTTATAATTTGATAGATTAATAGCATCCACTTTCCCAGTCAGAATGGCATTCTATCTTTGGCTGGAAATCAAAGCAGCAAGGGAGAGAAATGCTGGATATTTGAGAATAGTAACTAGCTGTTGACTCATTCATATTGTAGTAATTCTTCACATCTAACTGAATGGAGTTTTTTGAATATTTGTTTCAAACAGCCTGTGATTCTTTTGGTCAATCTGGTGGGCTCAGTGTGACTCCAAGAGGTTTCTAAATCTGTTTCGATTCACGGATATTCTTATAAGAATCCTATGCAGCGAGGTTAAGAACTACAGAGTTCTTCTAGAGATGTTGATATTTGCACTAGAACCACTGTGGGTAAGGAAATACCCGCTGACTTGAGAATGGAGTTTTCAGGTAATGGTCTGCCCAGTGTTTGATCCTCGCATTCTCAGCAGCGTTAGAGAATACTAAAGGCTCCATCTTTGGGTTTGTGTGTTTTCCTGGACTGCAGCTACTAAAGCCTTCTCATCTTTATGCCAAGACATTCCTTGGCCAGTGGGATCATTCCACTGGCTTTTTTTTTCTTTTTTTTTAAATGTGAAATTGGTGCTGATTTAAATACTTTTGTGTTACCAAAAAAAAATCTCAGACAGTGTTATGTCCCGCCAGTGACTGGCTGGAGCATTCCTGGGGTGATGGGTGAGATGTAGCTGCTGTCTGTGGGTGCTGCACTGGGGTGATACCTGAGAGCTCTGCACAAAGGACACTTGACAAAGGGTTGTACCCGTGAGCCAGTAGGCAGTCCAAACTGAAGAAAAAGAACTTTGGCAAGAGGGGGCTCTGTTGGCTGAACCCCAGGAGAGGATAGGGATGCAGGGAAACGGAGCCATGGGAAGGAGGCTGCGTTCTCTGTACTCGTGAGCTGCTGTCTAGTTCCTTTAAGTTTCTTTCAGTTAAAAGATTTTGAACTGAAACATTGGGACTGATGTTTTGCCAGCAGCGGGAAATGGTTGTGGAGGTGGATCCTGCACCTTAGAACTACGGTTGTTTGTCAACCTGTGAGTAAATAGGGTAGAGGTTTATGCTGGGGCACACTCTGTGTGTTTGTGTGGCTGAGTGTATCTGTCTCCCTCTCGCTCCGTGTTTCTCGCTCTTTTTTTCTCTTTGTGCCTCTTGCAGGCCCTGCTATGAATTTTCTCTGACCCCTTGGGGCCATTCCCACATGAAGCTTTGATGTGTGTGCCCAGACCGTGATTGACAAGGAAGTTTCGGTGGCGGCAGCAGGGAAACGAAGAGAAAAGGGCAGGGCTTTGAACTAAAGGGCTTTGAGCTCTGAGATGCTGTGCTTACTTATCTCCTTCAGAATGTTAATTATTTACCAAGATAATTGGTCGGGAGGGGAAAAAAAGAGAGGGGAGGTTATTAAAAAATTCCAACACTAACACGCTACAAAAACCTCATTTTCCAACTTGCAGCTGGCATGAAAAGGATGTTGTGTGTAAAAGGGCTTGAGTGTATGTGTGTTGGGGGGGGCCCTTTTTAAGGCACCCATTTCCTAAATAGAGGGATCCCTTCAGACGAATGCAGCGGAAACATCAAAGCTCTTGCGAGAGTTTTCTCTGGGGTTTCTAAACCGTGTCTGGTACTTTTTAATTAAAAAAGTTTATGGAGAGCCGTCTTTGTGACTGGAGCAGGCAACCTTAGGCCCTCTTGATTGAGGAATGAAACGTTAAAAGACCTAATAAATAATGATTTCTGCTAAAATGTCAGTTCGAGGATGTGAAGATGCCTGGGCGCTTTAGCAGGAGCCGAGCCTTGGAGGAGAATGATGAATGTCTCCTGCTTCAGTCTTAGCGTGATGTAGGCCATACTGTACATGAAAGTCTCCTACAGCCTTTAGATTATTGTAAAAAAAAAAAAAATAAATAAATTGTAACACCACATGCTCATTTGAAGTTTGTAGTCGGGAAGATAGGTGAAGCTGTTTCATTTTTGCCTGCCGTTAATGCATTTTTATTAGTCCCTGAATTAGGCAGCAACGCAGAGGCTCCCTCGTGCAGATCAGGGCTCCTTTGAGCTCCGGTAATTGCTGTGCTGGGTCGGGGCCAGGGACCGTGGTTCCCGTGTCCGGACTGTGCTGATGGTGGCAACAGAGGCCCAGGAAAGCTCTGGAGCCAGCAGCCTGCCCCGTGCCATTCACCAATACCCGTTAGTGATACCGAGAGGGGCAGTTGCTTGTGTTTGTTTATTTATTTATTTATTGGATCAAAGTGAGAAATTCAGTGTTACTGTTTTGCTGGGGTACGTTTTCTGTACAGTTTCTGGCCATGACAGAACACTCTTTTACGCTGTGATGATTTGGTTTCTTTACCTGTCTCTTAGTATAAGACCTCTAAAGCTTTTAAAATAGTTGTTTTTCTTTATGTAGTCTTATATTGTGTTAATTCTCATAGCAAGTATGATACTTTTCTTTCAGAAAAATCAGCTGATTACACCGTATCATATTAATCTTCTGCATATCACCTTCAAACCCTATTACAAATACAAGCCTGTGCTTGCAGCAGTGTCTGTTTTTAGTGCGAAGCATAATACATTTAAATCTCTTCCTCGGCAGTCCCTTGAGAACACTTGGATGTGCCATCTGGAGATGGTGATGATGTGCTTTTTAAATGCAGCGCTGAGTCCCAGCCCCAGTTTTTCTGCTGCTTCAGTTACTTTGAGGGTTCCATGCTCACTGTAGGAGCAGGGCTGTGGGTGGATGCCCTCCCTGGGTACCTGCAGTTGCTTTTGTGACTCTGGGTTGAACCAGTGGGACAGCAAGTCCAGTTCTGCAGTTTCTCTGGTGCCCAGTGAAGGACCAAGAGATAATTGAGGGACTGACACCTGGGGGAGAGACCAAGGGAGCTGGGGTGGGTAAGCCTGGAAAAGAGAGAGCTCAGGGGGGGTGGGGAGGGACGACTTCACAATGTGTATAATAAATGTGAAGAAGTAAAGATCATCGGACTGATAACTAGGACTGCCTTTTTCATGTCTGCATTTATCTAGGTCACATAATGAGTTAAATGGATGGAAAAAAATGTTTTAATATGGCAATTATTCTGACAAGTAGGAACTAGGAATTCAGGCTGGATTTATAAAAGGGTAGGCTGCATCCTGGAAAGCTGCTGTTGAAACAAATTCCAACTAAAGACAGGGTATAAACATAATAGAATAACGTAGAAGAGATTTCTGAGGGCGTAGCTGGATTTTCCTTCTCTTGCTATCAGCCACCCAGGTCTCAGAAAATTCTTAGTCCTACGTTACCTGCTCAGCAGCAGAGAATGTGGGTGAAGTATAATGGCCTGAGATATGGGGACAGAGGAGAACAAATGGCAGCTCATCAGCGCAACGAGTATTTGTGGTGCAGGTCACATCACCTGTGTGTAGCGGAATAGATCTTGGGCTTTTGCATCATGCCTTACTCTGGGTGCCCTGGGCTCTGCACGAGTTCAGCCTTCTCGGAATTACAGATGGCTCAGTGACCTCAGCTTAAACCCTGTGAATTTGTCCGTAGCTGTCTAATCTGTCACTAATGTTCACAGCGAACTGTGAAAGTGTCTGCAGTCACTGATCTTTTCCCCTTTTGCTGCAGGCGAAACTCTTTCCAACTGCTGTCGTTCACTTTGGATCTGAGGAGTGCAGGGGTGAGTGAGTTTCCTCTTCAGCTGATGGTATAGCTCCTGTAGTAGACCCAGAAGAATAACTTCCTTATGTTCAGAGTTCTTCCAACAAAAGATACTGCAGTCCTCGGGAACGCTGGTAAATGTTCCCGTTCCGAAAGGCTGAGGCTCTTCAGAGAGCTTGGTCGGTCAGCTTGGGCACAACTGTAAATGTAGTGCCCTTTTGGGAGATTTGTTAGGCTTTGGGGTCGGTATTGTCTGCCACGGGGACAAGAGTGATAGAAGAGCAGCTCTGTAGAAGGAAATTCCATTGATCAAAATGTTAACTAGACAAATGACTGTGAAACACTTTTATGGACCTCCTGTTGTAGTGGGATGGCTGGAGAACAGATCTGAATCTTTGATTCTCTGATACCTCTGGTTTATGCTTAGAATCTCCGTTTCTCCCAGAGATTAAAGCGTGCTCTGGCTTCACAGAGAAGTTTCTGAGATGCAGTGAGCACTGAAATAAAATGTCAGGGTCTTGAGATTTGAATGATGAAATAGGGCACCTTGAGTTCTGAAAGAGACTGTCACAGTTTAAAAGTGTCCTGTGTGAGTTGGGGGAAGGTGATGGAGGTTTACTGTAGCATCCAGCAGGTATTTACTGAGCTGAGAGCGTTGGGATTCTGAGTGATTGATGCCTCTGGGTTTCATTTTTATACAGATTGTTACCTGAAATCAGACCTGCTGAGCTCTGCAGTTTCTCCTTCCGCCGCTGATTTGTTAGTAGCCAGGTATGTTGGGACTGAATAGAGCTGCAAATGGGTGAGAATTTCAGGGATGGGAAGCACAAAGTGAGCCCATCTTACTACAAAGAAATGTGCTCTGGAGATACCAGGACTTCATTTTTTCCTGGGAGAGTCATACTGTCATACTTGACTTCATAGCTTTGAGAGTCTTTCTTTGTAAAGTAGGATTTCAGTGACTAAATCAAGTAAATCCTAAGGCTTTTATCATGAAAAAGAAGAGCCTTTTCAATCTGACTTTAGAAGTTTAAAGGTGGTGGTGGTGGTTCAAAGGGCTATTATAAATAAATAAAAATTCATTCTGTTTGTTTCTTTTCTTCCTCAGATGTTTGTCCAAATCATTAGTTCCTTCTGCTTCATCATCTTTAGAATCAGTAGTTCCATCCCTGTCTGAACCAGAAGTGGGAAGTGACAAAAAGCCTGATGAGCAGCCAGAACCAGCAAGTGCACGTGAAGCTCCACGGGTGTTGAGAAGGGCCCCTGGGAAAGTACCCAAGTGGCTGAAGCTGCCAGGTATCACCATATCTGAGGAGTCTTCTCTTTCTGAACTCCCCGGAAAGGCGGGCTCCTCTGGGCCAAATGTTGAGGATAGTCTGTAGATGTCAGCGTGAGCCTGGCAGGACGTGTGGTTTGGTGTTTGTCAGTCACAGATCAGTTTGTGACTTAAACCCCAGCCTTTGCTGGAGAAGTTCCTTAGTGCAGGCTCTGGGCAGCGTTGGGTCTGATGTCTAATCCAGACGCTTGCAGCGCCCTTAACTATGGTCTGGACTTAATGTGTTGAGTTCTTAGCGATGCCAGTGCAGTTCAAACACTAATAGGAATGATATTCTACATACCAAGGGCTCATGTCATCTGTTAAACCTCTGTCGTTATTTTTCCTTTGCTGGTACAGTCTGTTTTAGTACTTTCCTTTCTCTTGGCTTTTTTTTTTTTTTTTTTTTGAACTTTCTGTTTTTAATCTTCACTGAAAACAGTGGTTTTCCATAGCTAAGATTACAACCAAGTTTCCATTATGAATTTTTTCTTGATTTATCCTGATCAGAAAACTGCAACTTTGTTTTTGGTCTCAGAACCAATAGCTTATGTGCGGGTTTTTTATGAGAATTTATACAAAATATGAAGTAACTAGAAGAAGGATTCCTGAATTAGACAATTGGCAATATTCATTTTTTGATGCAGTGGCGAAGAGAAGGGGAGGAAGACATTAATCAACCTCCTTAATGGCAATAAAACTAAGAGGAATTATTTGGAATTCCATGGCTAATAATTCCAAATGTTAACTTCCTGAAGGAGAATGTTAGTATTTGATTATGGAAGATGCTGTTGAGCCATCAGCTCCAGCGTGGGGTGTGGAAGGATTGCTGGAAGGCTGCAGACGTGGGCTGGTGCGATCCCTGCTGGGGCTGGTCTGTTCCTGACTGGTGCTGGGATGGTGCTGCAGGTCACGTGGGGAATGGTATCTTCAGGCTTGAAGCGTTCCACTTCAGAGTAGAAGTTTCTTTCCGAAATAGAGATGATCTGGATAAAGTATGAAATATCATCTTGCTTACCCGTGCAGGTTGCCCATTAACAGCTGGTATGAAAAGCCAATAACACTCTCTTACACGCGTATTAATAATGGGTAGGATGAAATTCCCTGCTCTGAAAGTGATGTGTTCACCATTCCATCTCCCTGAGGAGTGTCCCTACGAGCTGCCCAACCGTTGCCTGGGCGCAGCAGGGTATGGAACCCTCAGCAGCAAGATGGTGTTAGTGAGGAATGATGTAGTGCAAATGATGTGATTAAATGTTTTAATGCCCATATGTTTATTTTGTAGGTGGGAAGAGATGAACCATTCTGGGCTGCTGGATCAGTGAGCAGTCAGCTGTGCCTCTTTCCTGATGAACTTACTCAGAATGTGTAAGAAATTGTTGGTGGCCCTGGAGAGATCTAATCTGTATGAACATTAGTTACAAATAGAAAATTGCTATTTCAGATGCTAGCTTCATTTTTTGGAGGAGGGAAAGGCCTGTTTGTGGTCTTCATGACTACAGAAGCAAGGTTAGAGGTTAAATTTAAGGTTTCTTGCATGCAAATAATATGAATAGAGAATTAACGGGCAAATAATTCCTATGTACTTTCTGTGAAGGATTTTGTTTCTATCCATATTTTTAAATCCGAATCTTCCTGGCTCTACCTTCAGAGGTAACCTGTGTCAGCTGCCTGAATTCTAGCATCACTAGATTCACTTTCTACTATAGTTAAGTGCTGCCTAGAACAAGACTTCTCTCTGCTTCTTGCTGGTTGGGGTTAGCGCTGCTGATAATTCTGGGCACAGGTGGCTGGAAGGTGGGTGAAGGGGAACCACTTAGGTCACTTAGAATAGGTTTTTTTCCTGTGAGACCTCTTGATCTGCTGCACTTGCCTGGTTTTCCATGGCCAGAATATTGTTAACAAACAACACGGGTTACCTGTTAATGGAATGCACCTGGAGTTTGTTTCTGCCCCAAGCTCTGTGTTTTATTTTCACTACCTATAATTAACATCAGTCATTACAGTCACAGCGAGGAAAAAAAAACATGCAGTAAAAGGGTCTCTTCGTGTTACCTTCGATCTCTGGAGCAGTCAGAGCAGGGGGAAGCCCTGGCCCAGGTCTGTGCCTGCTGCGGATGCCGTGCTGGGGTGGATAGTGGTTAGGATTGTGCTCAGGCTGGAGATGAACTCCGTAGTGCCACAGTAGCCATGGTGGTGTATTTTATTTGAAGTCCTCTCCATGGATCAGTGATTCATACGGGACAGCTGGGGTTCCCTGTTAGGGTAATAAGACGTTTTCCATTTTCCCTGTATAGACAATTGTTCCCCGACCTACGTGTGCATCTGCACAATTTGTAGATGTAATAAAGCAGAGTGGCCATAGGAGGCCTTTCTGTCGGTCTCTTTGATAGTACGTTTCTTCCCCCAGTACTCAGTTTCTCTTGTCAGTTCTCAGGAACCTGCTCCCTTTTCAATGGGTCTGTCATGCCTCATTCCCTTCCTCCCCCCTTTTTTTTTTTTTTTTTTTTTTTCCTCCCAACAAAGCAAAACGGAGCTTTGTACCATCTGAATGAACTTCAAAGTGGCTAGAAAGGGCACCCAGGGTTCCTGGCACTTGTCATTGTCTCCCAGCCTGGCCAACATTTCCCTTCAGGTCTAATTACTTCCAAATGCTCCCAGATGCTTTGAAGAAACTCAGAGGGAGGGGGGAGGCATGAAAGAAAAGGTGGAAGAGGAAAAAGGAGACTCAAAGTGGAGGGAGCAGAATGCTTTAGTAAAAACGTTGATTGATTTCTTATATGACACCCAAACATAAACAGGGAATGTGTGCGGCCTCCGGCAGCAGGGATGCAAGAGCACTACCTACAGCTGCTGCTCTCACCCGTGCTGGGGAAAGCAAGCCCTTCTTGCACCCCACAGGCTATAAAAGACATACTAGAGGGAAAAAAAAAAAATTTAAAAAAGTTGAAAGTGTATTACTTCAGTGGATTAAGTGTGGGCTGAGCCTACGCTCCGTAGGACTGTCTGTACCTCCTTCAGGTGCTGTGGGAGGCTTCCTCATTCCCCAGAATTTGGAGGCAGAGTGCAGCTAGAGCTGCCGTACTGAATTTATGCAGGAGGTATTGGGGCCAACTAACAGCCGTAGCTAATGGTGGGTGATGATACAGGTGTGCTGGTGTGTGTGATTCACAGGGTCAGCACAAACAGCAGCAGTGGGGGTGGGAGGGGGTTGTAGTGTGCTTTCAGATGTGCTGATCCTGTTTTTTTGAAGAGCACAGGCAACATCAAAGAGTAGTGATTTGCTTAGTTGATTTGATTCCACCAGTTTTGACAACCATCTCCAAGTACCTGATAGGGGAAAACGGAAGGAAAAGTTTAGGGACACAAGCAGCAATATCCGTGTTACTGGGGCAGTTTCGTGTGTTGAGGGGTGAGGATGAGGAGATTTTATGTGTGTGACCTCACTGAGTGCTGCCCCTGCTTGTGCATTCCTTAAGAGGGACAAGATGCCCCAATATTTAACTGCAGGTTCTGCACTAAGGCAGTGGCTATCAGGATTCCTGTCCTGGCACAGAACAACAAGTGCAGGTACGTTCAGCATCAGTAGTAGCTGAACTCCCCCCCCAGGGGGTTTGGGGCATTCAAAAGTAGTAATACTTGCATTTTCTTGCTGTTGCTTTTTTTTAACCATCTGGTTGTGGGGCTGGAGGCTGAACTAGGTCAGTTCCTTCCCTGGTTTCGTCGTGCAGCTGCACAAACACTTGTCTTGGCAGAGAGGCTGCAGCGCAGAGGGACGGGGCACCGCTCGAGCTGGTACCATCATCAGAAAGAACATCTATTAAAAATTGTGGGTTTGGTTGAAGTTTCCAAGTGCCTGGCGTCCTGAGCGACGACCTTGATGGCTCTGAGCTGAAGGAGTACGGTCACCCACCGAGCCTCTGACTGCCAGTAGGAGACAAGAGCTGGCTATTACTAGCCATAATGAGCCCAGGTCGCCCAGGCTGGTGTCAGTCCTTGGGACAGGCTGATGTTGGCTGCTCTCTGCACAGCCAGCTCTGCATTTCCCCACAAAGCCCCTTCGGTGGGGAGGGGGGGCCCTGCCTACATGTGTCAGGGTTCTCATTCCACAGCCCCCGGCCCCCCGCGGCTGCGGGGCCAGGCTGTCCCTGATGTGGGATTCTCACACATGCTGTTTGTTATTCTGTCCTTTTTCCTTTCGTCCTACAGAGATGCAGAGGAGAAGGGTGGGTGAGGGGGGAAACTCTGCAAAGTCTTTGAAGCAACTTGACTTTCGATGATTAATTGCAGCAAAGAGCCGACACAAGGGAGGGTGACTCGGTTTTAATTTATTGATGTTTCTTTGTGAGAACAAATTTATAGCAGAGGGGAAGCAGCTTCTGAGGAGAATATCAAATGGTTAAAAGGTTCCAAGCATTCTTTGATGTCGCAGCCCTGGAGAAACACTGGAAGGTAGTGAGGGACAGACACTGTTTATTTATAAAATAAAGATCAGTTACCTGCTTTTTGGCAAGAGCCTGTGACTGAGCTCTTGTTAACAACCTATTCATTAGGCGGGCTTGGAGCTGGACCTGACGTTTCTGCCGCAGCCGCCTGCCCAGGCGAAGGGAGCCTGGAGTTTGGACGAGGTTTCCAGCCGTCGAGTCTTTCCGTGTGTCTCTGAAGCAGCTCCTGTTTCTCACATTAGCTTGAGGAATCGCAGCACCCACCGTGCTGGGGGGTCGGCTGCTGCAGAAGGGGATGAAACCGACCAAAACGAGCCCACAAGTGTGGTTACCCAGGGCTCTGCCGTGTTTGGTAAAAGAGAAGGGAAACAGAAGCGAAACGGGCAGAGAAAGAAAGAGTTGAGGCTGTTCTTCCTAGAGTTGGACTGAGGATGATCATGATGTTCATGGTCGGGTCAGGATCCTCTGCTGGCAGGGTCCGTGAGGCCTCTAGAAGTCCAGGAGCTGTGAGGAGAGAGGAGCTGGTGCCAATGTCGGCTCCGGGAGGATGAGGAGGATGAGGCTGCTCCATCCCCGTCCTCCTCCCGGCTCCCCGGGTACCCACCAGCTGGGGCAGCACTTTCTCCACATGCTCGACGTCCACTTTTTCCAGGTCCTCAGCCTGTGCCTGCCGCGCTGCCCGGGCCGCCGCCTCTGCCGGGAGAGCGGTGAAGGGGGACCGGGGCCGGGGGGGGACAACCGGGACCCAGCCCCGGCTCTCTGCAGGCGGCCGCTGGGGGCCCGGCCGGGGCTGGGGGTCCCCTCGCGCCGGTACCGGGCCCTACGGCGGGTCAGGCTGGCCCTGAGCCCGACATCGGGCGGGGAGAGGGGGGTCCCGTCGGGCCGGTACCGGCCTCACGGCGGGTCAGGCTGGCCCTGGGCCGGAGTAACCGGGGCTGCGCTCTCACCTCGGACGAACACCTTCAACATCTCCGCCATCAGCAGCTGCGCGTCCCCGTTAACTGCAACGACAAAGCGTTGATGGAGGAGGGGGGGGGAAGGGCAGGCCGGGCCGCCGCCCCCCTCCCGGTACCGCCGCTCCGGTACCTCGGGTCTTCCCGTCGCGGAAGTGCAGGCGGAGCAGCCGGTCTACCGTCTCCTGCGGGGAGAGGGGAGCGGGTGAGCGGGGCGGAGAGGGTCGAACCGAGCCCCCCATCCCGGTCCCGCCGCACCTTCCGGAACCCGTCCCGCTCCTCCATCCCGCCGCCGCCGCCGTTGTCCCCGCCCCCTCCCGGAAGCGCGCGCCCCGCGCGGCCATGGAGGAGTTCCGGCGGGGCTACGCGCGGCTCTGCCCGGTGCCGCAGGGCTCGGTGCTGCGCCGGCTGCGGGACCCCACCGGGCCGCCGGGCAGCGCCCGCCTGGACCTAACGACGCTGGGGCTCTCGCTGGAGACCTGCGGGGCGCTCGGGCGGCTGCTGCCCGGAGCCGCGGCCTTCACCGAGGTGGCGCTCGGCGACTGCGGCCTCAGCGAGGAAGGTGGGGAGCGGGACCGGGACCGGGACCGGAGGGGACGCGGGTGGAGGCGGCCGGCGGTGGCGGTGCTGTCCCGGAGAAGCCGGGACGGGTGGCGGCTGCTGCTAACGGGGAGGGGGGGTTCGGACCATAAACCCAGCGAGCACCGTCGGGGGATCCGGTGGGATGAGGTGGGATGAGTCTCTATTCGGTCCCTGCTGCGTGAGTGGAGGCTCACTGAGCCGGTGGGTGCTCATTAAGCTGGTGGGGGGGGTCATTAAACCAGTGGGGGCTCATTAAGCCGGGAAGCGTCCCGTCTGTGCGGCCTGGCCCTGGGAGCTGCGTTAGAAGGTGCCCGGGGTGACGGGCGGTTCTCTGCCCTCTGAGGGCACCTCTGAGGCCTCTCAGCCTCTTCCTCTGGGGATACATAAAAAAACCTCCTGCCCTGAGGCCCTGACAGTTCAGGCTCTCACTCCCCTGCAGCGGTGGCCGTTTATGAAGTGTTCTATGGTAGCCCGGCTGTTTGAAAGGCAGAGGGTCACACGTCTGAAATAAACAACTGTCTTTATTTTATTTTGTTCTTTCTGCCCAGGTGTAAAGCTTCTGTTGCACGGGCTTTGCTCCAACACCACAGTCAAGTCTTTAGATCTGAAGGTGAGTCTGTTCAAATGAAGTCAAGACAAAGAGGTGGAGGAGGGAATAGCAGCACAAGCTTTAATCCGAGTTAGAAACAGACAGTCCTGGTGCAGGAATGTTCCAGGAGGTGTGTACCTCTGTAACGTTCCTGTTGTCAAGGACTCAGGCCTTGCCTCCCTAACACCATCTATTGACTTTCCAGAGTTGCTTTGCAGCTTGTCTTTGTCCATTTTCATTCAGTTACTCAGTTTTGATAGGAAGTTATTGCTGTATATCTTTTTGCCAGCTGCTGCTTGGTGCGATGAGGCATATGTAGGCTTTTCTTCGAGTTTCTGTATTAATCAGTGAGCTACTAGTTCTTTGACTTGCGCTTCTGTAGAGTTTTTTTGCTTGCCAGTGTCTTTCAGCTCACCTGGGGCTTGGAACTAAGCGTCCACTTTCAGATGTGGTGATTGCTCTGCCGTGAGAGTGACTTTTCTGTCTGTGTTCCTCTGGCATGGAGCTACTGCCTTCAGTCCACAGTCCTATGTCACACCTTTCTTTCTCACTTGTGCTGGTGTGAGCCAAGCACTTCTTAGTGAAGTGTGTTAAAATGGTACTGCTTATCTAGAATCAGCATTTTCTGTCCCATCATGGGCTTTGCTGATCCTGTGCTATCCTGTGATTTTTCTGAGCCTCTCGGTTACGATGCCTCATGAGAGTAATAGTGAATGTATCTGGTGTTCCTTCTGGGGTCCTTACTTTTCTGGAAAGCTGATACGTGAAACAAATGTTTCTCAGACCATCTTTGAGAGACTGAAATGGTCATTACAGCTGGGCTGCACCTGGTGGCTTTTGGTGGCATAGCTGGGTTGTAGCCCTCTGATCACCTGGGACTTCTGTTTCAGGGAAATAACCTGCGAACCGTGGGAGCTGAGGCTTTGGGAAAACTTCTTAGGCAGAACAAATCCATCAGGAGGTAAAAAAACTGTGTCTACCTCTCTTTCTGCTATTCCTGCCAGATGGAGCACAACATTAGAAAAGGGTTGAGGGTGTTCTTTGTTGGGGTAGGAGGAATGTCAAGTGCAATTTTTTGTGAGGGAGTGAGAACTGGAGATGCCCTCTCTGAGGATGCGTGGCCCTGGCAGCATCCTGCTCTATAAAAATTGATCCCTGTCAGGGGACCTGGGCGTCCAAATGGCTATCACCGTCCAGAAGTCATTCAAGCTCTTGTAACTGTCTGTTTAGTCCATGAACTTCAATCCTGTCTGATGTTTCGTAGCCTAATCTTGGAATGGAACAGCCTTGGCGTGTGGGAGGAGGGCTTCTCCTTTTTCTGCCAAGGTCTGAGAGCAAACAACGTCCTCCAGAAGCTGGATCTGCGCAATAACCAGATCAACCACCAAGGGGCTGGAGAGCTGGCCATGGCACTGAAACAAAACGCCAGTCTTCAGGAGCTGGGTAAGAGTGTCTAGCTCTTTGCCCACCAACATATACGTACACACATACGCGTACGTTGTTCAGCAGTGGGGTCAGTTTGCTTGCTCTTTGCCCACCAACATATACGTACACACGTACGCGTACGTTGTTCAGCAGGGGGGTCAAAGTTTGCTCTCTGTGTAGATCTGCGTTGGAATAATATTGGGCTTCTGGGTGGCCGAGCTTTGCTGAACTGCCTGCACAGCAACAGGACGCTGAAGAGGCTGGAGCTGGCTGGGAACAACGTTCCTAGTGACATCCTGAAGGCCGTGGGTAGGTATTACTCACAGGAAAGCAGCAGTAACTCCTTTCCCCTTTAGCGCTTGAGGGACACGGGGCCTGACTGCTCCAGAAGAGAGCTATCCCTCCTCCGCTCCCTTTCTCAACAGCATTGAGAGTGGTACTCTGTGTCACTTCCTCTTGTCCTTTAACGAGGGCTGGTCACGTTAGAGCTGTCGCTTTTACCAGCAAGAGGAAAAAAATTACTTGGGTTGAATTAGAGATTACTGTGCCATGTGGATGTGGGAGAACTTGGGGCTCCATTCTCCCTCGGAGTGGCCAAGTTTGGGTATGGCTAATGCAGCGTGTCCTTTGTCACTGTCCTGCCCACGGTGGAGTGGAACGGCTCTCCTCTGGCTGGGGTGTTGATTACCCATCGATTCCTCCCCACCTTGTGTCTGTGAGAGCAGTCTCTCTACTGCCCTGATGCTTCTCACAGCCAGGTGTCATCCTGAGGGCTATCTCTTCCACTGGTACTCGCTGTTCTGCTGCTTTAGAAACATGCCTGCTCTTCTTCTCTCCCTCTCTGCATCAGAACAAGCCATGAATCACAACCAAGACCGTCAGGCTATCCTGAACGAGACCCAGAACCGAACCTACATACTCAGCAAGGAGGTTATGAGTCTGAAGGATGAGAAGACCAAGCAGGTCAGCAGTCTTATGTCTTGGCAGTTTGAGTAGGGCAGCTGGAATCCCGTGTTTTCCTTCCGTATCCCCATGAAACACTCAGTGACAGGATTACTGTGCACCTGAAGCTGCACGTGCATCTTTATGGGTGGGCATACAGGGTGGTTTAGTAGGTTGGGTCCTTCTTCTGAGCTGTGTTGCTCAGGAATCAAATCCATGACAGTGGACATGTGGACACGTGCCCTGCTGAACATACTCACTCTGGATTCTGGAGGAGTTTTGATGATTATTTTTTTTTATTCCACCATATTTATGCTTTCACTCATTTTCTGTTGCAGCTGGCTTGATATTTTCCAAGTGGTGAAAACCTAGAAATACGAGTCTTTTTTCTGACACATAATGGTGCAGAGCCCCCATAGCTGATGACCTCAGTCAGACATCCTAATGAACCTGTCAAACCTCCAGTTTGCTTCTCTCTTTCAATAGTGTGGCTTGACCTGTTTTAGCTGTCACTAGGAAGAAAAGGATGAGAAATGTATATGGTTCAAGCTGATGCAGTTTATTTTAGAATCACAGAATGGTTTGGGTTGGAAGGGACCTTGAAGACCATCTAGTTCCACCCCTCTGCCCTGAGCAGAGACACCTCCCACCAGACCAAGTTGCTGAAAGCCCTGTCCAACCTGGCCTTGAACCCCTCCAGGGATGGGGCAGCCACAGCTTCTCTGGGCAACCTGGGCCAGGGTCTCACTGCCCTCACAGCAAAGAATTTTCAGCCAGCTTTTTGCCCCCAAGTCCTTCTCCTCAGGGCTGCTCACCATCTGTTCTCTGCCCAGCCTGGATTTGTTGCTTGCCCTTTTCCTGTCAGTGGGAACTTCAACAGACTGCCACAACGTCTCAAATATGATGGAAAATATTCTTACAGCTCTTTGCCTTGTTCACAGTTCTTGGATTTGATGGACACTATAGACAAGCAGAGAGAAGAAATAGCCAGGAGTGGCAGGTGAGTTGGATTTCTGAGTGCTTTCTGCTCTTTGATGGCAGAATCGGGCCCTCTACGTTTCCTGGCAGATATTACCCACCCATTTTTTTTCTTTCTTTCTTCCCCCCCCCCCCCAAATGCAGGATGTCTGCAGCACGAGTCACCCAGCTGCAGGAAGCGTTGGATGAGCAGCACTCCATTATGAATTCACTGAAAGCCAAGTACGGAGGAGGAGAACCTGAGCCTTCCCACTGCTCTGTGCTGCACAGGCAGCCCTGAGCAGAGCTGTTAGGAAGGGGGAATAATCTTATAGAGGGGCTGACTTACTATTTCGTTAGTTCTGCAGTAATAACATCTAGAAATTGTGGTCAGATCAGGCCTTTTGGTTTGCCGTGCTAGACATTTAGCTTGCTTTTAAGTAAAACTACAGTGCATTGGTGTACGAGCAAGTGAGTTACAGAAGGTGAAAAGGAAAGAAAAGGGATTGTGAGGATGGGGCAGTATTTCTCGCACAGTTTACAGCCTGGCAGGAGTCTGTCACTTCCCCTGGCAGTTGGCCTTGTCCTCTGAGAACCACTCAGGTACGGAGGAACCTGACCGGTGAGGTTGTGTGCTCGGGGACAATGAGGTGGAGCTGCCCCCAAGGTGTTAGGTTGTGTAGAGCCATAGGCACGGAGAGAGGCAAACACTGACAAGCTCCTTCAGTTCTGTCAGGCAAAGATGGTTTCATCACACCATGAATCAGTGTGGATGTGTCCCTCACGTACAGAGTAAGAAGGTGCTTCTGCTGCCTGTGTTTAAAGTTCTGTCCCTCATTTTAGACAACTTTGCAGTGGTATAAAGCAGCCAGCTTTGTCCTCCTGTGGGAGTGGGTGAACCCTGGACTGGTCCAGGTGGGGAAAGCAGCTCCTGAGAGACAACAGGGAGAAAGCGATGGGGCAGCAGAACTCCAGGCTCTGAGAAGTCCTCGGTCACTTGCTATTTGTGGAGGCTGCTGCGCCTCTGATGAGGATAAAGTGGTTTCCTTTTCCCAGGGGCAAAAAATGCCTCATTTAACTGTCCTGATTTCATCCCCTGCCAAATGTGTGTTAGCATCCTGTACCCCGCGTAGCATAGGGAGCTCATGGAAGTGTCTCCCTTAGAAGGGACTGTGGAAGGTGTTTCTCTGTGTAGGCTGCAGATGACTGAGGCTGCCCTGGCCCTCTCTGAGCAGAAGGTGCACGGTCTGGGGGAGCTGCTGAATGCCACCAAACAGGAACAGACCACCATGGCCGAGCGCCACTTCGCAGAGCTCCAGCAGCAAAAGCAGGTGAGATGGATACGTCCTAGTGGGATTTAAGAGCTGGGTTCCAGGTCATACCTGTTGGTGTAGATTTGGGGGATGCTGGATGGAAAAGGCAAGTGTGGGTTTTAGTGGTTTAACCGCAGCTGCCTTGACAAAAATTCTTGTGCAAATTAGATAGGTGAGTGGTAGGTGTGGAGAGGAGCCGCAGGTGGGTTTGTGTGGTGGGCTGGATTTAGTTGTGTGTGGAGTTGGTTGGAGGAGGTTGGCAGTGCAAGAACTATGGCGAGTACAGGCTCTTAATTTTGATTCTGTTTGTAGGAATGTGCTGATCGAGAAGACAAGCTTTTGCGTGATTTGTCTGCTGCCACTGACAAAAATCTGCTTCTGAGAAACCAGGTAGGAAATCAATTCCAAGGCTGAGAAGTGGGATTTGGGCATTGTTCACTTCTGCTCTGTACGTACATCCTCTGATTCCTGTCTGTGTCTCTGCTGATTGTTCCTACAGCCAACTTTCTCTGCTAATCTGAAAAAAAAACCTATCCTTTTTGGTGGTAATTTCCTTGTAGGTGGATGAGCTGGAGAAGAAGTGCAAAGTTCAGCAGGATCAGCTATTCCAGGTGAAACAAGACTTGACCAACACAACGGCAGAGCTGAAGCTGCGGGTTGCACAGGCTGAGGGTGAGTGTGAAACAGCTTGTGAACACCTATGGGTTACTGTCCTTGGGTCAGCAGTGCGAGGCCGCCAAGGGGAAGGTGGAAGAGTTTGTGATAGAGTATAAATAAATATACCCTGTGTAGCAGGAATGCCATATTTGGGATATCACAGAATCACATGGGGTTGGAAGGGTCCTCTGGAGATCATCTAGTCCAACCCTACTGCCAAAGCAGGTCCACCCAGAGCAGGTTGCCCAGGAGCATGTTCAGGTGGGTTTTGACCGTCTCCAGAGACATTCTGGGAGTCTCCACCACCTCTCTGGGCACCCTGTTCCAGGGCTCTGCCACCCTCAAAGTGAAGAAGTTCCTCCTCATGTTTAGATGGAACTTCTTGTGGTCAAGTTTGTGCCTGTTCCCTCTTGTCCTGTCACTGGGCACCACTGAAAAAAGACTGGTCCTATCCACTTGACACCCACCCATTAAGTATTTATAGGCATTGATCAGACCACCCCTCAGATTTCTCTTCTCCAGACTGAAAAGACCCAAGTCCCTTAGCCTCCTCGTAAGAGAGATGTTCTAGCCCCCTCATCATCTTTGTAGCCCTCTGCTGTACCCTCTCCAGCAGTTCCCTGTCCTATGCCTGCTTTTAATTTGCAGAACGCCTGGAAATGGAGAAGAAGAGATTTAAACAAAGCCTTGAAGACGTGGAATCCCTTCGGTTAAAAGAGGTAAGAATGGGGTTTTATGCAGCATCTCTTTGGTGATGCAGCATCTACAGGTGCCACTGGAGGCCATAGTCCTGTCAGCGGCTCTTAAAAGTTAGTGGACTTGCTGTGGGTATAATAGTCCATTTCTAAAAGCAAAGCCTAGCTGAAGAGATCACAAGACGTTCTACCAGCTGGTAAGATTTGTGGCTTGCAAGAGTATGGACCAGAGAGATGTGTGATTCCACAGAAGAGGCTCAAGGCTGGCCCGTGTGTCAGTCATGCCATGAATTAGCAGTCTGGTCATGCTCACTGAAAAAAAGATGCGGTAATGGAGGAAATTGAGGCACACATGCTATAGACAACCAGTGCTTTAGTGGGGTTTGGCTTTCTGGTTCCTTGTGTTTCCGGGGATTCTGTCCGGGTGTGGACAGGACAAGAGGCTGTGGCCAACTCTCTTTGGAGTGTTTATTGAGGTGTGAAATCTCTCAAAAATAAAATCATACCAATTGATTTCTCTGAAGACTTTGAAATCTTGGAAGCAAAAGACATAGGCAAGGAGGATTTTGGCCACATTACAACTAGAAGATCAATCTCGGGTGTTTCTAGAGGGCAGATTCTATCTATGTTACAGTTTCCTAGTGGAGCTCTGAGGGAGGCAAGAGTTTTGCTTTGGTCGTAGGTGGGTCAATGAGAGGATGTTCTTTCTCATGATGAGTGCCCGTGCTGCTGTCCCTGGAGATAGGAGAGGTCTTCTGGCACTTGCTGACGTGGTTTCTGCTGCTTTGCAGGTGGATCATATGGCACAGCACCTCGAGGCCAGTGAACGCTCCATGCAGGACAGGATCCAGAGGCTGGAGGCCATCAGGATAGCGCTGGAGGAGGTGAGGAGGACGCTCCAAGCACGTTGGAGTGCTTGGGTGGTGGTGGCAGGAGCAGGCTGTCAGGGGAGCTTTGTGGAGTTGCTGACCTGTGTAAAGATTGTCATATGCTGTAGGGAGGAACAGAAAGCAGTAGTTTACCGGCTAAAAGAATTTTTACTGCTTTTGATTAAGGAATGAGAAGGTTCCAAGAAGAAACTCATAGATTCTGATGGAACAAAAATAAAGTTCCCATTGAACATGGTTAGATTCTTCCCAGGATTTGACTTCACAGGTTTCCCATGTGGTCCCAAGCAGTGTAGCGTATTTCTCCTTGTCTGTTCCCCCACCTAGATCCAGCGCTGCCCTCTCCTATTCCCCTGTCTTTGGAAAGCTTCACCCATTCCTTGCCCTCACATAATTGAAATTCTCATTGAATTTAGGTGGCAATCTAGGGGTGAGAAAAGGTACGTGTTCTGGGTTTTGTTTTCCCTGCCCCTGAGTGAGAGACGGCCGTGTCACGTTGTAGCCTGCCCCTGGAAGCTGCTGTTTTCTCTGGATGCAGCTTTATCTGGAACGATCTTCTGTGTTTCTGTGGCAGGAGCTGAGCCAGGTGAAAGCAGCTGCGCTCACCGAGCGAGGGCAGGCAGAGGAGGAGCTGATGAAGGTCCGGAGCCAGGCACGGCTGGAGGAGGTGAGGATGGGACCTGTCTCTGGGCTCTGTTTCTGTGGGAAGGAGTGGATTTGGCTGCTGATGTTTTTGTCTTAGGGAACTGCTGCGTAACTCCTCGCACCGGGTTCTACTGGCCTTCAAATGGTGTGATTTCTGAGAGAGGAGTCCTGAAAAGTCTGTTTTTAATTGTCTCCGGAACGTAAGCACTATGCTCACCTGCTCTGTGCTTTTCAGCAGTAACAGGGTTACTGTGGATATTGTCATGAAGCAGATTTCAAGTTGCCAGCTTTTGAAGCTAACAGCCAGATGCTGATCCTTATGTTTAACAGCAGCTTCCATGGGCTATTCCTGATTCTCTGGACTGGGAGGAATTTCTCCAGGTGGCTACTGCTGCTGGATAAAAAAAGTCACTGTAACAAAAATGACAATGAAGTCATCACCCTGTGAAAGAGGGGAAATGATGAGGAAAATACACCAAGACTATTAGAATGTTGACTTCTACGTAGAGAGGAATTTCTCCAGGTGGCTACTGCTGCTGGATAAAAAAAGTCACTGTAACAAAAATGACAATGAAGTCATCACCCTGTGAAAGAGGGGAAATGATGAGGAAAATACACCAAAACTATTAAAATGTGGACTTCTGTGTTACATCACAAAAGAAAATGCTTTACTGAGTTACAGACGTATGAGGGCTGCCATGTGTGTTGGTGGAGGGACGCAGCCGTCGCTTGGCATTTTGGAGCCACTGGGGATATGGAGGATGTGAAGACAGAAGATTAGTTGTGAACATCAGGGGTGGCATCGGTGCTGCTGCCAAGGACACACCTCTGCTTCCCCACCAGTGAGCTGGGCTTTGCAGTGTCTCCATCAGAACGTTTTCCCTGGCAGCAGAAAGCTGGATTCACTCCTGAGTGCAAGGGAGGAAGTGCTGTACCTGTTACAGCTGAGTCCTGTGCTGGTTCTTCCAAGCCAGTGACTCAACCAAGGGTTCACTGTGTAGGGAACAATAAAGGGATAATAACCTTTGCAGGAATAGACGGGGAACTGATGTATGTTCGTTTTCCTTTGTGTCTTACAGCAGCAACGACTGGAACACCTAGAAGAGAAGCTGCGGCTGATGACTGAGTCTCGGGACGAAGCTCAGAACTGCTGCCTTAAGCAGAAACAAATGGTTGCTGATGCCCAGGCCAAAGCCAGTCAGTTGAGCCTGCACGCTGACGGGCTCAGGAGGCGGCTGGAGCAACTCCAGCAGGTAACCTGGGCTGGAGCAGAGAAGTAGTCACTGCAGGGGCAAGGACCAGGTTGCTGAAGTTGTTTGGTTACTCATGGATTTGTTTTTGTGTGTCAGGACCTGAACAGTAAAGAAGAGGAGAAAGTGATAGAGGTGAATAAAGTGAAAGTGGAGTTGCAGGAGCAGATTGGACACCTGCAGGCTGAGCGCACAGCACAGGAAGGGCTGAGAGAGAAGATTGCAGCCCTGGAGAGACAGCTGAAAGGTGATGGGTCCTTTCATGCTTCGTACCCTGGCGCGTACAGCCGTGGATTGCACCCTCCACCCTCATGTGTCTACGGGGATTGTTGTCCTCATTCTATAGAGACCAAGACTCAGATAACTACCCAAAGCTGCACAGCAAGCAAAATGTTTGCATTTCCTGCAGAGTGAGGTGTAACATCTTGTCTGTGCAAAACCTCTGATGTTGTCTTGTGCAGCTTTTCCCGTGTCCCTCTTGATCATCCTGCATCCATTGCCTTTGGCCGCACCCATAACGTGTTGTTCCTGGTTATTCTAGGGACACACTGATTTGCTTCACTAATGCTGCTCTTCTTTCACAGCCCTATCAAGTAATCACCGCGAGGCACTGCTGGACAAAGAGAGTGAAATCTCCATGCTGCTGGAGAAGCTGAGAATGAAAGAGGCTGACATCTCCAGGATGAGGGAAGAAGAGGCCCAGCGAGCAAGTTTCTTGCAGAATGCCATCATGGCCTATGTGCAGGGCTCCCCCTTGGGAACCCACACTTCTCGGAAATGAGAGCATCCTTAAAGAACCCAGGTACCTGCTGTCAGGAAGAGGGTGAGCAACTCAGGTACAGCCCATTCATTCTAAGTTGGGACAGTTTTGTCGTGGTGGGGTGACACAAAGGCTTGCAGACACAGAAAATCGCTGTCGCTCTTCAGAAACCTTGCTCCCGACTGCATAAAGGAGAGGAGGAAACGACCAGCCGGGGCTGGGACACAGCCTCGTGGCTCTGAGTTCGTGATGTGGAGCTCTGCCCCTGCACTGCTGCAGCGTTTGAAGTAGTTTCTGTGTCCTTTTACACAGCGCCTGTCTGTCAGCATCCCACCCAGTTGTTACTGGGAGGGGGGTTGTATGTCTCTGGGCAGTGGTCATTCTGAAGCATTCATTAGGATGGCAGGGCTGCGCACAGCAAAACACGATAAAGGATGGGCAGCAGTAGGTGTGAGCCGTGGAATTCGCTCACGAGGTCCCGAGGCTGCTGGAAACACCAGGTCTAACCCCTGTGGTGTTACACCCAGTCCTCACCGGTGGAAGAAGGGGCTGGCAGGGCCCTTCCCCTGCCCCTCCGTGGCTCTGGCTGTGGTGATGGGCAGTAGATGTGCATTCCTTATATATAGAAAGAGCTCTGTGGGGGGGACGCTGCTGTGCGGTTGTCTCTCCATACCCTGGTTGGACTCCTGGGCTTTGGGCATGGTTCAAGGCCCGACAACAGTGACTGGCACGGAAAGGGGGGCACGGTGTTGGGGGCAGCGTCGGTGCTTCCTCACTGTGAGCTGCAGCCCTTGGCTGGAGGAAGTTCTGGTGGCCTAAATGCAAGAGGATTTCATTCCACTGTGACAAATGGCAAAACTGTCCTGCTGGCTCCTCGGGGCTCTGGGTCCAAGTGCTGTTTTTGGAGGAGCGATGCTTCAGACTTGCTGCTGTGGAGCTCCTTCTCGGAGCACAAAGGAGGGGAGAAGGTGCTTCCTTTTCCTGGCAGCTCTGGTCCTCATGTGGCACGGAGAAGGGGAAGGGATGTGAGAGTCTGAATCGGAGAAAACGGAGACTTCTGTCAGGACAGAGCCTCCTGTGAGTTTCCCCATGAGTCTGGGGTGGAAGAAATGAACTTGCAGTACGTATTCAAAGAGGCAGCTGGAAAATGAAGCTTTCTGTGTGGACTGGTTGGTTTGTGTTTGTGTTTTTTTTCATATTGGGTTTTGCTCTGCTTTTTTTTTTTTTTTTTAATAAAAGAGATTTTCATTTTGCCATAACACGGGCAGTGGCAAGCTGTGTGTTTGCTTGGTGATCTCGGCTGATCCTGGGAGTCTGTCCTGGAGCTAAAAGGCTGCTACAGGTGCTCTAGCTAAGGATGTCTACAGATTTTGGTCCTAAATGGAGGTAAAAGCAAAGAAGCTGAGAACCTTTGCCCTGGGGAGAGGAGAGGGCTGGGCAGGTCAGGGGAAAGCAAAGCCTGTTGTTTTGATATGGTACCACTATGTGAGTCATCTCTGTCTCCAGCAGTAGTGGGAGAGGTGGAGGAATCCAAAATTCATCTTTATGCAGGATTTTTTGCTGCTGCATCTTTGTTCCTCAGCAGCTCTGGGCAGATGAATGAGGGTGAAAGCCGCAGCTGCAGCGCCACCAGGCCTGAAGCTGCTTCCTTGAGCAGGGAACCGGCCTCCGACGGGTTCTGAGCGGCACCGGCCGTGCCTTCCGCGGGCGGCCCGCCGGGAACC